ACTGAACAATTCATTGACAATCTCTTTTTGAGCTTTATAATTAGCAAACACGACTCGTTTCCCAGTGGACTATTCAAAACCGGTTCATCCTGAATTCCCCAAAACTGCATAAATCCAGACATTTAAAGATTTTTGGGATCGTGTTCAACGGTCCATCTGGAGTAATCAGGAACGGTTGTTCTGACATCATCAGCCATGTGTTTGTGAATTTTAAATCTCTGAATTTTTGTGATTCATTTCCACTGAGTCAGAAGTGAATAATCAAGTAAACAAAAACAACAAAATAAACATGATATTCCAGTAATGATGATGAGAGACACTACAGCAAATTGTTACACATGCCACAAACGGCGGAAATTACCACATTATGAGATACGAGTTTTGACCTTCCAGCACTAATAGATCAGATGAATGTGTGTGTTTGAGAGAATCACAGTGAGACGCGGCTGTCGACTGGTTTGAACAGTCAATGGTTTGAAAAACATATCAGGTTACCTCAACAACCGAATCCCTGTACACAAGCCAAGAGATATAATTAGTAATGCTATTCGGTCGAGCAAATCAAAAGACACAATAGTGGAACATGACAACACTCGCAGACACACACTCCAGATGCCCAGGGTGAATAATCAAACACACATTCATATGGGAAACAACTCAGTCTGATCATCTCAACATTCCCTGTGATTAACTGAACAGCAATATTACAATTGTTGAGCCCTGATATAACAAACAAACAACAAATCACGCAATCAGAATGATTTTGTTTGTAACTGACGTGAAAATTTCCCATTTTTCTGCATAATGACCCGCTCTTCTCTGCAGATGGTTACGCCTGACCATCACACCGCCTAGAACAATACACAATAAACACACACAACGACCTCTGTGTGCGTCGCCTGCTGTGCAGCAACTAGACTGAGAGAGAATAACCGTGAAGGAATGACCGAGACAGTGACGTCCTGATACAGGAGCGATTGCACATCTTACAAGAAGAGGCAGACGTGTATTTTTAACCATCTATCTGACAGCAAATTCCAACAATCAGCACATAAAAGCATCAGCTCATCTGAAAAACAACAGCCAAAATTGATTACCAGAAATGAATGGAGGCCTGGTAATTTTCGGGACCGTTTAGTGTTTACATATTTGAGAAAACTCAACCTGAAGAAACTCAGGAATTACATCAGTAATTCATTACAGATCACACTGGGATCTAATAAACTTGGGTACAACATATATAGACTGCATGATGATGATCATAGTGGTAAACAAAAAGAGCAAGATGAACCGCACTTTGTCAATTATGGTTTTTATGTGCACTGAAAAAAAGAGGATGAAGCAAAACGGTTATGATGACTAGGGAAAAGAGGCCAACTTAGCAAGTGGAGCTTGGGGAGAGTAGATTTAAGGTTTAGAGCCATGTCGAGAAGATCAATACGCCATTTCTGGTTGCTTTTTTTGTCAGTAGACATAGCAGGACACTGTTGGAAAATGATCACAGGCCATCTTTGGTCACATGACCGTGACAACGACCGTCTTTGAGCCTCTCTCACTGTACGTTTAGGAGCCACGCTCAAAGAAATCACTACGATTGGTCATTTTTCGTCTGGGTAGGACAGCCCAAAATCGTACAATGTGTATCGGGCAACAGACGTAAAAGTCTAAAAATAAAATATCGTACAGTTTGCATCCAGCTTTAGCCAACCAGACGGTTCATATAACACACTTTTTTTTTTTAAACAAACATTCAATACACTATATATATACAGCTATGAAAACTGTTTCAGAATATTCTAATTTTGAAATTTGGGGTTTTCATAAGCTGTAAGCCATAATCATAAAATTATAAGAAAAAAAGGCTTGAAATATCTCACTTTGCATGTAATGTGTCTATATATAATACATAAGTTTCACCTTTAAGTTGAACTACTGAAATAAATGAACTTTTGCACGATATTGTAATTTTTTTTGAGTTTGACCTGTCCATTAGGGATGCACCGATATAAACATTTTGCCCGATACCGATAATTATTCATATTTGAAAACCGATAACCGATATATCGGCCGATAAATCTAAATCCAAATTTTTAAAGAATTTTTGAGAGCCTGATTCCAAAAACAAAAGTCTCAACATTAAAAGGCATGACGTTCTCATTATAATTTTATGCAGCCTATATGACAGACTTGTGCAGCACATGTTGCACTTTACTGTATTTTAAGCAATTTTTTAATTGCTTTAAATTTCAAGCAATTTAAAAGCATTACGGCGAACAGTGCACATCTGAAGTGTCTCAGCTGAAGGAAATAATATCGGCTTTAATATATCGGCCAAATTTCTTATGGGGCGATAAAGAAAACATTAAAAATCAACATATATCAGCCGATACCTAGGCTATACTGTGGCTGATATATCGTGCATTCCTAGTATACATACATGACCTTGATATATTAAATGGATGTATTAACCGTAAGTGCGTTAACAAAAATCTTAACGTAACATTTCTCCTTTTAAACCCTCCCGTCCTGAATATCTAGCCTCACAGACTTCCACTGTAAATGCAGTACTGTTCAGAAACTGAAATTATTTTCAGCAGCAAAACAAAATAAAACACCATGTTTGCCGTTAATGGGATCAAAAGCTATAACAACTATGAGTGTATGTATTGCATAACGCATGAGCAGAACAAAGCGTTTGTTTTGGGGCTGACAGCCACTGTCAAGGATAAAGATGAGAAACCCTCCACCCGGCAGAGATGAGACGGACGGGACACCACCCGCTTCTCCTCTCTTCATCCTCACAGATGGATCGATACGCTCTCTTTTCTCTAATCTAATCTAATGATGAACAGGAGATTCACGATTGTAACCCGATCAACTGAGATCAGCTGCATTACAATCAGACATACAGAAATAATTAAGCTCAGAAATAAACAGAGGCATAAAAGCGACAAAAGTTGTCAAAATTAGAAAGCAAATTTAGTCAAGAACAACCAATCGCATTTTTTACACTGATGCTGAAAGACACTATATGGGTGAATCCCACAACACCTGACAAAAATATAAATTTGTCATATTTCACCATGAAATCAAAAAGAAAGTAATAGGAAATTATATTTTGCTGCTTAAAGAACATTAAGTCTTTCTAAACCTTTATTATTTTGAGCAATGGCGTATAGTTTTCATGACAATAAACCCCATAATCTCTGTAATAAATCTAATTCTCAATACTGCAATGGGAGCAATTATTATATATTATTACATTTACTGATTATAGAAGAACTGACTTTGATTTATGCTGGTTAAAAAATTTGAGTAATGAGAAACTAATGAGTATCTGACTTGACAACATTGAAAATTACAAACAAAAATAGAACAAAATCTTAAAGGTCTTAAAATAGGATTCATTAAATGCAAAATAAAATTAGCTTTTTTATATATTCTGGACATGTTCTTTATCATCCACTTGTACAACAACAGTATATATATATATATATATATATATATATATATATATATATGATATTTCGAATATTGTTGTTGATCAATAATCATATATAAACCCCAATGATTATTATTTCTTGCCCAATAATATGTTTCGACATACGAATTATAGCTCAATATTTCCAAGTTTTAATTAAGAGTAAATGAACATTAAAATAACATAGTAAAAAAAAGAGCTGCTGATAGAATGATAATAAACGTATTTATTTTACCTTCTCCACGTTTTCCACAGTGAAGTCTGCGGCTGTGTCCGGTTCCATCGCAGTATTTACTATACCACACACTCTCCTCTCGCTCTCTTGAACACAATCTATAACCTTGTGTCTTATAAGAGGCCTGTCGATTAATATAATTTTAATAATAACGCTGATAAATCTCACTGAGGTGAATTTGATTCGGCCCGGCGCGCGATCAGGCCGGTGCGCGCGAGCTCATGTCTCTCATTCTCATATTTCACTCATGATAAATCTCATTCATATCTCAGACGACCGATAAATATGACCAAACGTCACATCTATGTGCTCGTGGGTCTCTGTATGGTCCGGTCTCGGTGATCGGTGTGCGTGTGTCCTCCCTCTACCGTTCTTGACTGTCGGTCTGACTGAACCGATGAATCGATGATTCGACACGCTCAGCGCGTGCCCAATCCTTTGCCTTCATTAAAAACAAAACAATAGCACTATTCTCAGCTTAGATATGTTTCATATTTATTCCATTGTTTATTTTTAGTATTTGTATTTGAAATTATGCTGCTTTCATACAACAATGGATCATTTGACTTTGACATGACGTTCGTTTTTAATCAGGCTAAATTTGAATGGCTCTCTAAACAGTCCTTCGCTTTGCATTGTGGGCAATGTAGTTTTAAAGACTAATGCTCATATGCGGTGTCACAGCGACTCTTTGTGGCACCTTTGATGTTTTCTATAGATTTCGTTTTTTGTTAGTGTGCAATAGATGGGGCTCTCGCTCCATTATATATATTTACACCATATTTTAAATATGATATTTATCTAATGTTGCTTATAAATAAACAAATATATATACCAAAACTAAATAACAGCTCCCATTTTTTTCGTATTAGACAAAACAATTGCGTATTATTTACATTTGATCATTTATTTTGTATTGTATGAGACCACACAGCATTAATAAAAAAAAATCATCATTATTAATAATATTTTTTACATTTATATAGCACGCACATCTTTATAAAGAGTATCTTTGAGTACAACAAACTAAACAAAAAAAATACAAAAATTACTATTAATAATGTGTTACATTTATTTAGCCCAACATTATAAAGAGTATCTTGGAGTACAACAAAACAAACAAAAAATAATAATGCCAAAAATTGTTATATTGCAATGGAAAATAGTTGAAGAAACGCGTAGCTATCGAGAATAGACTGTAAAAAGTAAAAATAGAATAGAAAAAAAAAATGTTTCGAGAAGCCTCGTGCGCGCGCTTCACGCGCTCCGCCCACCGCTCAGGCTAGAGCGCGCAGATCACTTCAGGTCTGGATCTGCTGTGAATGAACTGTTCACTGTTCAGGACTCATCTGATCATCTGACTGGATTCTGTCACGCTGTTGGAAACATCTAAATTCATCTCTGTCCGCTTCCAGCACCCATCCAGAGGCGTTTAAGTGTGACTTTTGTTTCTGTTTTTATGACTGAAGAAGGAAAGAACGGAAGAAAGACTCGATAATTTTAGGTTAAAGTTAGTTTTCTTCTATTGTCATATGAAGGATATGGGCAGATGTGGAAATATTGCGTTTTGCGCGATTGTGCTCTTCTACTGTTCTTTGATTACAGGTAATTAAATACTCTATCTATCTATCTATCTATCTATCTATCTATCTATCTATCTATCTATCTATCTATCTATCTATCTATCTATCTATCTATCTATCTATCTATCTATCTATCTATCTATCTCTCTGTCTGTCTGTCTGTCTGTCTGTCTGTAAACAATTATAGTAACAGCAATTGTGAAATGTATTCTCTGCCACGCGTATCCTGTGCAGTCAAACAATGGTCATGTCTCAAAACCTAGAGAGCTATCTACCTAGGCAGCCACCGTAGTTCATTTTGGATGCCTAAAAATGTTTTCTAGTTAGGGACCTCACTGTGTTTTGAGACATAGCCTTATGTCTTGCGGTGAAGAGACTCATCCAGAACTCTAATTACAGCCTGACACTGGGTTCTGGACAGAGACTAACATGACTTCATATGAACGCAAATATAAGCTTTAAATTGGGATATTTAAATGTGATATAATATATGACATTAGTTAAAGCTTTTGCTGTATATTATGTGTTTACTACTTTAGAGTGTAAAAGATCACATGGTCACCAGCTTTGTGAAAAGTAACTCAAATATAATTGTGTGAATATTCCACTATCAAACATGTATACACACACATTTACTCAGCTATCTAAATAGGGACATTTCATAGACATAATGGATTCAGTAAACTGTATTGTCCCCTCACACTTACCCTAAACCTGCCAATCACAAAAAAAAAAAAAAAAATTCCTTTAATTACTTTATTTTTAAACCAGATATACAAATTAGGACCTCCCTAAAGAGAGTTTTTTGGAGATTTTGGTCACTTCTGGTACAAAATTGTAGGTACACACAAAATATAGTTAAGTAGGCACATACACCACACACATTTACTTAGCTATCTAAATAGGGACATTTCATAGACATAATGGCACATTGTAAACACACATTTACTTAGATATACAAATTAGGACCTCCCTAAAGATAGGAGACACTTCTTACATAGGTACACACAAAATATAGTTAATAGGCACATACACCACACACATTTACTTAGCTATCTAAATAGGGACATTTCATAGACATAATGGTCTGTACAAACTCCCCTCACAACCTGACCTCTAAACCTACCCATCACACAAAACTTTCTGCATTTTTATATTAAATATTTTTTTATTACTTTATTTTTATACCCACACACACACACAAAATCATACTCATAAGGGTGGAAATGCATGAAATATATCTTTCTCTCTCCCAGCACTGGCAGAAAGAGCATCCTGGGAATGCTGTTAAACCACACATATTGTCTCTCAATCCCAGAATGCTTTCATTTATAGCCAGTGTTTGTAATTAAGGGTCATGCAGTGTTATTGTGTTGCAGAAGGCCTGTGTTTGGTTTGTACAGCTAAGCTCTTCTCACAGAACGGCCTGTGGTTCTCCGAGGATGAATGAGTGAGAGTGAGAGTGTTCAGGACGTGCGGATGAACAATCGTGGTGTATTTTTAGAGCGTTTCTGTTGCTTGTTCTCTTTTCATTCTGATGTCCTGTTCCTCCCACTTTCATCTTGGAACTGTTTTAACTTTTCTTTTTCTTTTTATTCCACGTTTGGAGCTTTGAAAAACCCTCTTTACTTTCATTCCTGATCTTATTTTGCCCAATCCATTTGTGCGTATGTATTACAAAGAAACATATTCTTTCTTTACTTTAAAATTCAATAACACTTGACAATAACTCAATTTTTTTTTTTTTTGGTCTTCTTTTGTTGGCCGCACATAAGCCGCAATAGCATACTTGGTAATGTTAAGCAACATTTTACTACTGTTGTAATGAAGCCTTTGTAATATATTACCAATCGTTAACAACTAATTAGATGTATTAAATTATGTAATATATTAATGAATACTTAAGTGATTTAAAATAATGATAGATTTGAAATAGAAACGTATATGGAGAAATTTTGGAGGATTAAAAAATGAACTTGTCGCAAACAAGCTTCCATATTATGGTGATAATTGAAATTGTACTACTAAAATTGAGCCAGTATGTCATCATCTGTTTCTCACATCTACTTGGTTTTCTCACCTCTGATATCTGCAAATCTCATCTGTACAGGAGGTTTTTGTTTGAGATGTAACTGTGCCTGTAGAGCTCCTCATAACTGCGGGTAGATTAAGATTTAAAATCCCTGAATCAAATAAGAATTTTGATGCATCAAATTGCTTCTAGTTTTGACACAGAAGTCACATTCATTGTGTTTAATTTATAAAGGAATCACAGGTTTCATTTGTGGCATAATGTGCATTACTACTGACTTTTCGCAAAATAAGCACAAAATTGTAGGCGTACACAAGGAAACACAGTAAACATTCAATGTAGATCACAAGACTGAAACAGTTCTTGCAATATGTCCAAAGTTAAGCATGTAAACACAGACAGTGATGCATGACACAAGGAGGAAAATCCAAACAGGAACTAGTGAAGAATAACTGGAAGATACAAATGATTTAACGGACTCTACAGCTCAAAAAACACAGTTTTGCATTTTTAAAAAAAGAGCACTTAAAAAAAACATGCCTTTTACATGCCTTAATGATTTACATCAGTTATTTTGCGCTATATATATATAGATAAACTCTTAGAGTTTCTTATGTCCCTTAGTTTGTGTGTATTGCTGTACCATTCTCTGATATAATGTGAGCGGTGTTCATATCACACACTCAGGGCTTGAATTGAAGATGTGTGTCTTGAGACCAAAATAATCTAAATGCAGAGAGAGAGAGAGGATTAAGTTCATTATTTTTGTTCATTACTTTATTATTACAATCAAATTGCTATATATACAATATACAAAGTAAATAAAAATGAATAAATTACATTTTCTTTCCTTCTTTTTTTCTTTCATTTTTTTTTTTACCTCAAAACCAATTCATTATAATACAATGTACATATGTAATACTTCATATATTCCACATAATTATATAAACTTTGGTAGAGATTGAACCAATTTGTAGTACGCATACTCCACCCTACCAAAAGCTACCAAACCTAGAAACAAGGCACAATGTTTATTGACCTTTGCCCCAACAGTCTGTTTTTCCTCGTCTTCCAAATAGCCAATTTTGCAAAAAATTAATTAAAACTGATACATTTTTCTTTTGAAATGAATACTTTGGCCTGAAAATGAACAATTGAAAAGATAAATCTACCCCCAGGGACAAAAAAACTAATTTTTAAAAAAAATTAAAGAGAGAGAGAGAGAGAAATAGAGAGGGAGACTTTGACTTTCAAGCATTATATATATATATATATATATATATATATATACACATACAATTCATAATATTATATCATAACCTCTCTCTGACATAAAATGCCTTTGGTACCCCACAAAGAAAAGTCGAGGAGTCGGTATCATTTACAAATTTATCAAACTTGTACTCCAAAACTTTTTACCAAATCTTTAAACATATGTAAAGGATCAATTCCTCCATTAAGACGCGTTTTATTCTTCCTTGTCAGCCAAATTGCCATTTTAGCCTTATAAGAAATTAATCAACACTGTTTGTGTCCTGTTTGAGGCACTATATTTTAGTCCAAATACAAAAAGGCCATTTGTAAAGTGAAACCCAAAACTATGAGTCAAATCTCCTAATACACCAAACATGTCCTTTAGAGAGAAAGAGAGAGAGAAAGAAAGAGAAAGAAAGAAAGAAAAGAAAGAGAGAAAAAGAAAGAAAGAAAGAAAGAGAGTAAAAATCTGCAAAGTCCATAGACTATCTTTATGTAGCATTGTGATAAATTTGTTCTGTTAGATGCTGATCGGGCCATTTTCATGCTGTGGACTGGTGTATTTTTCCCAATAAAAGAACTAAATAACCGCTGAATCATGCTCTGAATCACACTCCCAAAATATCCTCTGGAGTCTCCGTATAGGCTTATTCCCATTGCGAGTGGGTTGTGTGGTTCGTGACGTGGGGCGGCAGTAGATCAGAACAGGGGAGTTATTGAGGAGCTCAGCCAAAAGAAACCCTGTGAAGTGGCAGGGTGTGGTGGTGCACAAAACCCTTAAAAAACCTCCCTCAGGATTCTGGGTAATGACCCGCAAGCAGTCTGTGTGTGTCAGTGAGTGAAACTGAGATAAGGGATCCAATAATAGCTCAATGTTAAAGTAAGTCTCTTGAGTCAAATAGTGATACACAGATATTAGCCAGCATCTACAACAAATAATGATCTTTTTAGTTATGATTGATAAACATTATTTTAATTCTGTTCAAAACTATGCTCATACAAGCATTATCCGGTGAGCTGTACATGGGCAAACTTCATAAAAAATAGTTAATAATCCTGTCAGTTTATGTGTCTAGATTAGTTAAATCAGCAGAGTTATCTTAGTGTTTATATCATACTATACTGAGAAATATTTTTATGTAGAAACAACTCAGAAATCTTCACTCACAAATTGTAATTTCACAATTAGGGACAAAATAAGTTAAATGAAAAATGTTTAAGTTTTTTGTAAATTTTTGTTCCAAAAAACTTCAAAAATTATTTTTAATTTTTTTACATTGTATTCAGTAATATTTTGAATTAACATTTGTTTGGATATTTTTCGTTTTAATTTTATTTTTAAGTTAAGTCACTTTATTTTTATTATATATATATATCAATATTTCTATTTAACTTGAATTGTTTTTTATACTTTGAATACTTTAATACTTATTTTCGAATGTTTTGATGATTTGATTGATTGATTGAATGATCTGTAAATGACCAAACCGAATAAATGAAAATGAATGAAATGAAATTTTAACACTTCAACATTTCATTTCAGATGCCAGTGTAGCTCAATTAAATGATTGACTTAATTATTAACACTTTTCATCACATTAAGAGGTTAAAATATTAGCGAAGACATTCTCTCATTTTTAATTCATGATAATACCCATTTTCATTTAAATATGCTGATTACTTTGAATAATTTACGTCACAGAGCGAAATGTCCCCTAGTCTGTGTCCCTGATTCATACATGACCTGTGTGCTCGTTGTCCTCCTGTCTTCAGGTGATTACCGCTGCGTGGTGTCCTCATCACTTCTCACCTCTGTGAAGAGAAGAGTCGGCGTTTCTGACGTCAACATGACCTCGTCCCTGCAGTCCGAGACTCCCATCAGTAATCAGACCCAGTCCTGGACTAACCACAGCAGCAGTACCGAGCCCACGCCTGGCACCGGCTCCACGGCAGGTACAGCATTCATTCAGCTGGGGTTTTAAAGGAGAACTTGGCAATTATTTCAACTCAATAAAACCATTTGGATTAAATAACCTGGTGAAAAAAGTGAATATCCCCGCTCCCCCCAGCGTTCCCAGGCGGAAAACCAACCTTGCAACATGGGGACTAATGCCCCAGTAACTACATGTTTTTAAAACGTCGGCTGAACTGTGCGGTTCACACTACATGACTTGCTCTCTGTGAAATCAGAAGTGTTCAAGTGGTTCACACCACACGACACAACGTGATCGTAACGCACTACACGAGTTGACAACAACTCTGTCAGCCAACGATTCTATCTTGTCAACAAACCACGATTTGTCACAAAAAAACACGCGATAAAACGAAACGGAAACAGCACGCGCGCCAATACCCGGCGAAGAACACAACACACGATAATGGACGTCAGACAGAAACTAGTGCTGCAAACTGTTGATTTACGCGATGATTTACTGAGAAAAAATGCAAAAAAAGAAAAAATAAGATTTACCCGGTGACCTCAACCCATGCCTTGCTCTGATTGGCTGTAGCTCATGACATCACTGAGGTTGAGTCGCGCGACAGCTCTTGATATCTAGCATGCTAGAAATTTTTCGCGTCTTTGAAGCTTTGTTGGCTAACAGATTGGCGAGCGTTCATCGCCCGCTAATCCTCCCCCGCGATTTGCACGCGATAACACCATGATGATTTGCAAATCGGGCTTAAATCATGTAGTGTGAACTAGGCTTTAGTTGGAAATAGGAAGTCTCTTGAGAAACACGAACTGCTTTATGGCATTTAGACATAATTCTATGATACTGTGTATGATGTATTACCCACTCGGTAGACACGGCTCCACACGATAAAGTTGGCTGGCTCCGATAATAACAAATGCACATGAGCAGCGGTGGAAAGCGGGAGGAAGACGCTGCAAGTGAGTTACTTTACCGCCGCACAGCTGTAGGGGGAGCTCGATCAGACAACAAAAGTGAAAATCAGCGAAGAAATGGCTAGAGTTGCCAAATTCCCCTTTAATCCGAGATTAACATTGCCGTGGAAAGCCCAATCTGATCCTAGACTGCAACAACAAGCGATTGTGAGAGAGACTAATCGCTGGATTTGAAACATATTCAGTCTCTAAAATAATCTAGGTGAAAAACGGGAAAGGTTTGGTGATTTCCTGCCAGCCCAGGACATAATCCGTTTATTTTACAGACATTTGCTTTAACCCTAAAACACAACATGTAATGTATGAATCAAAAGGAGTGTTAAAATGAATACGAAAAATTCCTTCATATTAACAGTGCCCTGTTTTTATGGATATTTCTTAAAGTGTACTTAATAGTTTTATTCAGCAGTGTTTGTTATTGTTAAAGTCACCCTGTAGTGAATAATTTTATTATCTTTGATCACCAAAATGACATATTTAAAAGTTTTTGCCTTCATGCCTTAAAATAGCTTGAATGTAACTCGACACCCTTGCCTCATTTAGTATACATGGTTCTCTGAATATGCGAATGAGCCCCGCCTCCACTCACTCACACAGCTCAGAGATCCACACGTTGATCTGATTAGTAACAAGAAAGTTTGTGACGTCAGAAACACCAGCGATTTCAAACCGCGTCTTTTTTCACTGCAGTTTTAAAGAGAAAATGCTCAGGAATAGTAAAGGTGCTGAGATTGATATAAAATAATCTGTATCTAATAAAATAAAGGTAAATTCTTTCATAAAACCACTTAAAAGTGCAGTAAGTGATTTCTGAGAAACACTGGTGAAATCGGCCCAAACAAACACACCTTCATTGCTCCGCCCCCAAAATAAATGAACACGCAATGTACAAACAGTACACAAGAGTATAAACAAGCAAGAGACACGCCCCCTATTGCTGATTAGCTCATTTTCCTTCCCCATCATGGGTGGACACGCCCCCTACTGCTGATTGGTTCACTCTCTCCTCCCCCATCATGAGTGGACACACCCCTACTACTGATTGGCTCACTCTCTCCTCCCCCATCATGAGTGGACACGCCCCCTACTGCTGATTGGCTTACTCTCTCCTCCCCCATCATGAGTGGACACGCCCCCTACTGCTGATTGGTTCACTCTCTCCTTCCCCATCATGAGTGGACACGCCCCTACTACTGATTGGCTCACTCTCTCCTCCCCCATCATGAGTGGACACGCCCCCTACTGCTAATTGGCTCACTCTCTCCTCCCCCATCATGAGTGGACACGCCCCTACTACTGATTGGCTCACTCTCTCCTCCCCCATCATGGGTGGACACACGCCCTACTTCTGATTGGCTCACTCTCTCCTTCCCCATCATGAGTGGGCACACGCCCTACTGCTGATTGGCTCACTCTCTCCTCCCCCATCATGAGTGGACACGCCCCTACTACTGATTGGCTCACTCTCTCCTCACCCATCATGAGTGGACACGCCCCCTACTGCTGATTGGCTCACTCTCTCCTCCCCCATCATGAGTGGACACGCCCCCTACTGCTGATTGGTTCACTCTCTCCTCCCCCTTTATGAGTGGACACGCCCCTACTACTGATTGGCTCACTCTCTCCTCCCCCATCATGGGTGGACACACGCCCTACTTCTGATTGGCTCACTCTCTCCTTCCCCATCATGAGTGGACACGCCCCTACTGCTGATTGGCTACTAGCGTGCTGAGATTCTCAGACCGATCCACCTTTAATAGTGTTTCTCTGAAATCACATACTGCACCTTTAACTGCCACCTCGACATCAGAAAACAGATCATTTATAAAATAATCTGTGGCCCTGAACTGCAACTGGAATAGAAAAAGGCATAAAGGAGGAGTGTGAGAAAGAGAGACTGTGAGTAAATGCAGTGTGAGATCTGACGGGAGAGTGTGAGAGTTTGAATCCTCATGACACACAGCACATACAGCTCAATGCTGTTCACACACACTCACATGCACACGTCTTACATGCACAGACACGCACTGTGTGAATCGATGAAAGATCTCTCCAACATACCATTAAAAATTATTATTTAATTATGTGTTTAAAAACCCCGGCTTTGTTCAGAGGAAATACTACGAGAAAAAACATTTGGTGTACATTTTTTTTTCTTAAAGGGATAATTCATTAAATGTATAGTTCACCCAAAAAAGAAAATTATGTCATTATTGACTCATCCTCATGTCGTTTCAAGCCCGTAAGACCTCACAAACAGACAGTTTAAGATATTTTAGATTTAGTCCGAGAGATTTCTGTCCCTCCATTGTAAATGTATGTACGGTATACTGTCCTTGTCCAGAAAGGAAATAAAGACATTAGAGCCAGACCGATATATCGGCAGGCCGATATTATCGGCCGATATTAGGCATTTTCCAAATTATCGGTATCGGCAGTTATAATGGCTGATAAATTAATATTTTGTATCATATTTTGATAATGAATATTTTAACAAAATTTGTAACTATCATGTCCAGTTTTGCTGCCGAGAATGAAGCGGAATTAGCTAGTAATAGTTACACTATGTTGTTACAGTGTAGTCCTTTTAACTTTTGACAATGTGACTGAAGTATTTCTTTAATAGCGCGTGACAGTTATAGAAATGCGACGTGTCATCTCTCCTTGGCCTGTTGTATTGAAAATGTATGTTTTTCAATTTGTTGCACGTTTCTGAAATAATAATTAAGAAAAAATATCGGCCGATATATCGGTTTTTAAAACCAATAAATATTTGTATCGGTATCGGACTTCAAAATCCTTTATCGGTTGGGCTCTAAAAGACATCATCAAAGTAGACCATGTGACATCAGTGGGTTAGTTACAATGTTTTGAAGCATCGGAAATACATTTTGGTCCAAAAATAACAAAAACTCTGACTTTATTCAGCATTGAATTGTCTTCCGGTTCTGTTGTGGATCCGCGTTCACGAGTCGGCAGTGACGCTGATTTCGTAAGACGCTGCTGACGTGTGTCTCGAAACGTGATATGTGATGCATTTATTTCAGGATTCTTTCATGAATAGGAAGTTCAATAGCATTTATTTCAAACAGAAATCTCTTGTATCATTTTAAATGTATTTTATTGTCACTTTTGATCAATTTAATGCATCCTTAATGTGCATCCAAGTATTTATTTCTTTAAAACCAATCTTAGTGACCCCACGCTTTAGCATAGATTACAGAAATAGTAGTAGTATGCTAGATAGTGATATTGTGAACACAGCCCCTCTCTCTCTCTTTCTCTAACGAAAGAACTCACACATATGTGGCAAACATTCAGTGTTTTCACATTCAGATCATTGCAAAACAACCAATTCCAGTGGTTCCTCATATCTGGTTGACAAACACATGCAAAAAAACTCAATTTACATGTTCCTGTCATTTCACAGGGAAAAAAAAGACAATCAAATTATCAAGATTCTTACTTACTCCACCTCTGAAACAAATTTCCCTTTTCTGATATCACCAAGCCTTTCTTATTTTGCATCCCTTCCCCCATCCGTCATTAAGTGACCACTTTTCACAACCCAACCACCTCCTGATGGATTAAAACAAGTCTAACCCTGCAGTTCATTTGACTCACTGAATATAATGTTTCAATAAGATGTAATTCACAGTGCAGGACTTGACAAAGTCTCAAGGGAAAGGCATCACCAACCAAAGAAACAGCATTGATTGAACATGCAGCAGCTTCTTGAGTCATGTGTTCATGAATTTAACTGTAAAAAGCCCAAAGCTACACTTCATCTGGCATTATTCATCTCAGTTTGTATATTTTTTATGATTTCACAACATTCAGATCCTTCATGCGGTCATGTTTGTGTAATTATGCAGAGGGCACCATGGAAACATGGTAATAATTACACTTCTGGCCCACTTGGGACGTCATGCACTCATTTATTTATTTTTTTGGCAGTGCTGACTTACTTTGTGCAATAGACGAGATAAGACACGACCAAAGGGGAAAAACACTTTTTAATAATATATTAGTAGTTCTTCATGAAAGTATACAGTTAAGTTTTTTTAAACAAGAAATTAACACTTTTATAGTAGTATGCGAGTATGCATCAATTTTTGATCAATGGATTGATCAAAAGTGACAGTAAAGACATGTATAATGTTAGAAAAGATTGAAATTTTAAATAAATGCTGGTCTTTTGATCAAAGAATCCTGCAGCAGCACAACTGTTTTCAATATTGATAATAATAAATGTTTCTTTTCTTGAGCATCAAATCAAATTAGAGTGATTTCTGAAGGATCATGTGACACTGAAGACTGGAGTAATGATGCTGCCAATTCAGCTTTGATCAATTAAATTTTACAATATGGTCTGACAGAAATCAGTTATTTTAAATTGTAATATTATTTCTCAATATAATTCTATTTCAGTCTGAGATAGCGACCTATCTCTCAGTTTTCCTCCGGCCTGAAAACAGCCGGCCAATCAACGAACAGAGGGCGTAGACGCTAAGCGCCGAGTTTAAGATTGTATTTTAGGTTAGGGAGATCGAAAACGACCGCAGATATGGAGATACGGGTATGCAATTCGCTCTGTTGTGGAGAATATTCCCGCCATTTGCAAACTAAAGCTCGAAAAAGAAGAGTGTTTGTTAAAAATTTTGAGGTGATGTTTAAGTTGGAGAGAGAGGTGATTGCCTTATGTGATTGGCTTAAAGGAGTAGTTCACTTTAAAAAAAACTTTTACTGATAATTTACTCACCCCCATGTCATCCAAGATGTCCACGTCATTCTTTCTTCAGTCGAAAAGAAATTAAGGTTTTTGATGAAAACATTCCAGGATCTTTCTCCATATAATGGACTTCAATGGGAACCAAACGATTCAAGGTCCAAAAGACAGTTTCAGTGCAAACTGCAAACTGTTCAAAGGGCTTTAAACGATTCCAGACGATGAATAAGGGTCTTATCAAGCGAAACGATCGCTCATAAAAAATAATAATAACAAAGTTTAAGTTTTATAAGCTCAAATGTTCACCTTGCTCTGTTCTGTGATGAGCGTTCGTGACTCTCCTGTTCGAACTCGTTTATCAAAATGAACAAATCTTTTTTCGTGTCATTTGGTTCATTCAACGAACGAAGTTGACCCGGGAAAAGATTCGTTCATTTTGATGAACGAGTTTGAACAGGAGAAGTATAAATTGGTCTTTACGCTTAACCAATGATTTTATACTCCATAAAAGCCCCAATTCCCCGCGAGAAATAAACCACTTTTCAATTACTCTGTCTGCGAAGCAAAGCGAAGTAGCCGAGTTTGGTATTACCAGGCTAGTTTTTACTGTATTTTTCATCAAATAAAAGTACTCCTTATTTATGGCCGTATTTTACTCAATTATAATTGTGGAACTTTTATTGTAAGTCTGAGGGTGAGCGACACTTAGTTTGTGTGTGTTTGCTGTCTTGATGCCATCAGGGACGGTGGCGAACTCACCCACTCCAACGGAGAACCTCACTTTCCCGGGGAACATCACAGACAGTCGAAATGGGTCTGATGTGTCACCTGTGGATAATCAGACAGCAGTTACCATGGCAGGGCCTACAACACCTACTACACTCCTGCCATCAACGACCCATGAGCTCACGAGCACCGTCCACATCATCACCACCATCCACACGACTCCTCCTGAAACCACCAGAGCTCCAGAAGTGACCAGCTCAGGGTCGACGAGCGCTCATCCCAGACAGAAATCATCTCCGACAACGTCATCATCCGCGGTCAACACACAGATGTCCACGAGCAGCAGTCCCGTCCAGGCCAAAGCCCACGTGGATACACCCTCGGCACTGAACGTCGGAGACGACGGTACGTGAAAACACTGGCAATTCCTGCTTTTCCTTAAAGGGACAGTTCACCCAAAAATAAAATTAAAAGTAAAAATTAGCCCATGATTTACTCACCCTGAAGCTAGGTGTGTATGACATTCTTCTTTCAGACTAATACCACCAGAGTTATATTAAAAAATGCCCGGGCTCCTCCAAGCTTTATAATGGGAGTCAGTGGGTATATATTTTTAAGTCCATGAAAGCGCATCCATCCATGATTAAAGTGCTCCACACTAATAAAGGCCTTCTGAAGTAAAGTGATGCGTTTGTGTAAGAAACATATCCATATTGAAAACTTTATTGACTAAAATAACTAGCTTCCGGCAGACGCCCGTACACAAGTCGACTATATTAGTCGAACAGGTCAGGTGTCCACTGTCAATAGTGTGGTGATGTGTGAAGCACTGCTCGCCTCACACAGAAATCACTGTGAACCCAAGCTTTCTGTTGGTCTGCCGGCGGATTCATGTGAACATGCTTGAACATGTGCCAAAACTGCGCTGGGAACTTTGCAAAACTCCCAATCGCACACATTCCTATTGGAATAACTGGATTTCACCGGCCAAATTTCGCTGAGCAACGGTAAATCTGACCGATTTTTCGAATGCAAAAAATTATTAAGTATAAGTATTAAGATACGTATTTTATCTTGTTTTTTGGCAACCCAAAAAATTCCTAAAAGCAAGATATGCAGTCTTATGTAGTAAATGTAAGACTTTTTTTTAGCAAATGTGATTTACACTTATTATATTAAATATATATTACACTTACATATATAAAAATACACTTAAATATAATGCATTTATTAAATATAATTAGTATAAACTATATGCATCAGTACTTTTCAGTATGAATTATTAATATTACATATTACACTTAATATATTTATGTGCACATACATATAATGCAATTATAAACACAAGAATGTTTATATATATACACTTTAATATAATGTCATTATAATATAATTAAATATACTTTAATATAATGCATTTCTTAAATATAATTAGCGTAAACTATATTTATCAGTACTTTTCAGTATGAATTATGAATTATTAATATTACGCTTAATATATTTATGTACACATACATATAATGCATTTATAAACACAAGAATGTATATATATATATACTTAAATATAATGTCAAAAAAATAAATGCACTTAAATATAATTCATTTATTAAATTAATTAGTATAAAGTATATTTATTACACACATATATTAAACTTAATATATTTATGTACTTAAATGTAATGTATTTTTTTTTAAATATAATTTAATTATCATAACCTATATTTATCATTGCTTTTAAGTATGAATTCTGCATTTGTATTTAATGACTCTTGCATCATCCGCCATCTTCGATTTATTTTTTCACTGAGCTTCTTGCATTGCATTCTGGGATTACCTTCTCAATGAAGGAGACTTGCAATGGTACCAAGAAGAGCTGTTTTAGAAGGCAGCAGAATTAAGTTGCCTATGTTTGAAAGTGGATTACAATGGCGGCTCACTAGAGTCTGAACCCTCTCACAGGGCTCATATTATGTGTTTTAGCATGACTAGATCACTGTACCAATCAGCATCCAGGACTGGAACTAAATGCTATATAATCACTTAAAAGTTTGGTGTCAGTAAGAGTTAATATTTTTGAAAGAAATTAATACTGTTATTCAGCAAGAGTGCATTAAGTTGATCAAAAGTGACAGTAAAGACATGAATATTGTTACAAAAAGTTATATATTAAAAAAAAAATGCAGTTATTTTGAACTTGCTATTCATCAAATAATCCTGAAAAAAAAAATGTTTCCACCAAAAAAAACATTGAACTATTATTGCAATTTAAAATAATCTAATATTAAAATTTTTACTGTATTTTTGATTAAATAAATGCAGTTTTGGTGAGCGTAAGCGACATATATCTTACTGACCCCGAACGTTTGAACGTTGTGTAACTATGTCCAGCTTGCTTGTGATTTTGAGGCTTTCTGCTGGAAACTTCTCGTGTCTGCTTAACTTAGGACGCATTTGGACAGAAAGCCTGCTGTTTGAAAGCGGACATGATTTATTGCTGCGATATGAAACGTCACATGGTCATTCATTTTGTTGATGCCTTTGTGACCCAATGCAGCTGCACACACAAATATTTACAGCGCACATCTGCACTTTTGTTTACAATAATGGCGAGCAAAACAAATCCCCATAAAACTGGATATGAATAGAGGTCTCACAGCAGACAGCCTGATAATGGTACGTTTGGGAAACAAGAGCGTCATTATATCTGTAGAGTAACATGGAGGGACGCCTGAGGGCCGGGACGTCTTCACGCTGACACAACTGAAGAACACACAGATCTTTGTGGATTTGCCAGGCCTGTGCGTCACTGTAGAAACGATCGAGCACAAAAACACACAATATTTACATATTATTTTCCAGAAAGTGTTAATTCCCCCCCTCTCTCTCTCTCTTGTTTTCCTTTGTCCTGGATTTCTAGGCAATAACAAAGTGTCCACTGACCCACTTCTGGCTGGACTGGTCTCCGCGTTTGTTGTTGTTGCTGCCATTGTGTCGGTCCTCATATTCCTGAAGTTCAGAAACACAAATGACGGCCCACAGTTTAGCAGACTTCAGGATCTCCCCATGGTAGGACTTCAGTTTATTGATTCATTCAACACATTCTAGATGAAGAAATGCCTAAGCAATTAGAAATCACAGAAGTTCAACAATGACAGGAAAAGGGCCGTTCTCAGGAAACCAATTAAAATATATTTTCAAATATTGCTGAACTTTAAAGACGTCATAGTTTCCCATTTTAGGCTGAAATGTAGCAGGACCGTAACCGGAACCACAATGATATTGATTTTAAAGTGCCCCTATTATGTTTTTTTTTTTTGCATATTCATGGGTGGTGATGGCGCAGTGGATAAGACACACACACACTTAACCCCTAGTTGCTCCAGAGGCGTGCGAGTGCGACCTCTGACATATATAGCAATTGTAAGTCGCTTTGGATAAAAGCGTCAGCTAAATTAATATATTTTTATATTATATTAAATATATATATTTTTAATGATGTTACTCCCTTAAATATGTCAGAAATGAACGGAGGCCAGGCATGAAAAAAAAAAATCAGCAATTTAGCTTTTTTTTCCTCAAAAAATCCAGGGAAAAGATAATAGTAAATGCATAACAGTTTTAATAACATTTTTAAAATTCTATTTATCCCATTCATCATATATATATATATATATATATATATATATAAATGGGTTAGCAATTTTTTTTTAAATAATTTTATAAAATACATTTTTTTTAATTTTTTATAATCATTTTTTTAAATGATACTTTTTTTAGATCATTACCATAAATATTTAGGATGGATATAAACAGGTTAGCAATTTTTTTTTTAATAATTTTATAAAATATTTTTTTTTACATTTTTTTTTTTTTTAAATAATACTTTTTTTAGATCATCACCTTAAATACTTAGGACTGAACAAAGCAAAGGAAAAAGTTCTGGAGTTCTATCTTTTCCTTTTCTTGATATTTTAATAAAAAAAAAAAATTAAATGTGTTTTTTTTTCTATATTATTAAAATTGTTATGTAGTTTCCTGGTAATCCTGTTATAGGGGTCCTATTATGCCTACATTATAACTTTCTTCAGTGTGTAATGTTGCTGTTTGAGCATGGAAAAACTCTGCAAAGTTATAAAGCTCAAAGTCCCTCCAGTGGGAGTTCTTCTTTATATTAGTGTCAGTGTTTCTGAACTCCTGAAACGCCTCCATTGTAGTCTCGAGTTTCAAACACGTCACAATATTCCTCATTTAAATAATTCATACGCAGAATAAAGGGGCGGGGCCTGGTTAAGTTAGTTAGCAGTGTGTTGAAACCGGCGGTTATGTTAAGAGCGGCACATTTCCCAAACACACTAGAAGCGCTTGACCAATCACAACACACTGATCCAACCGACCAATCAGAGCACATTGTGCTTTTCAGAAGGCGGGGCTTCATAGAGACAGAACTAAATGGAGCGTTACTGACAGAGTGGGAATTGCAACATTGTCAAATAAATTAATAATTATGGTTTTAACATTTAAGCATGAAAACCTATTCTAGTAAAGCCCAAAAACAAAAATCAAGACTTTAAAAAAAATAGCTTTTTGTCATTGGGATACATATGGCACTGTTTCCTGAATCTGTGTGTTTCAGGACGACATGCTGGAGGACGCCCCTCTCTCCATGTACAGCTACTGAAAAACAGAGACGCTCCTCGGATATCTTCAGAGCGCCCAACATCCTCTGTTCAACACAAGAAAGACAGATTTGAATGGCTCATGTGCTTCATAGAGGCACAAACACTCCTGTTGTTTCTGTTACAGGACTACATGTAGCGTAATACTCCACTTCAGTTGTTAAATTCACCGTGTGCCGTCAGTGCCTGTTTGTTGGGTTGTATTCTTGCACTTTACGTGGGTTTTGGGAAGGGTTGTGTGCTGGAGCTGTTTTTGGCTCCATGTGTTCATTTGTTTCTCTGATAGCCGTGTCGTCTCCGGATCTACTTCAGTCGTGTGTTCGTTACATTCTGTTTAATTCTAACTTGCTGCTTTGTTTTGCTGATCTTGGTTTTGTTAAAGAAATGCTCCACCTCTCGGTCAGCAACAGTCATGTTTACAGTAGTGCACTTCTAATGCAAGTCTATGAGGCTCTAAAATAAACAATTAAAATGCATTTTTCAACTGTACAGCCACAAAAATACACAAATAATACACATTAACATGAGGCTAGTGTGATTAAACAGTTTACTAACCTTGTCGGTGTAAAGTTTTTTTGTTTTCCAGCTCCTGAAGAGTCTACACCCTGTAACATTTGCATGACACACACAAGAACAGACTTGATAGCAAATGCATTACTGTAAACTGATTTTGCTTATTTTTACAAACTGAGGGATGAACAGCTGAAATATTAAAATGTTGACCCGTATCGAACCCGTAACATTTCTTTAATACTCCATGAACAGCATCAGTTATGATTTTCCAGTGGTAATTTCACTTTGTTCTCTGCTTCGTTCCCAAAGATGTTTCCACTTCTGATAAATACTATTTGTGTTGGTCATATAAATGTTCACTCACTTAAAATGTCTTCAAATAGACAAAACAACAACGGTGAAAATGCAATTGGCTCTTTTAAGCAAAACAACTAAATTTTCCTGCTTTTAAAATTAAGTTTTAAGATAAAAAAATATCTATTTCGGTGCGCATTTTAACAGGCAGACAACACTGTCAACGCACAGTAATACGTTTAGCCATAGTTTTAAAGGGATAGTTCACCCCAAAAATGTTTAATCTGTCATCATTTACTTGCCCTCATGTTGTTCCAGACCTGTATGAGTTTCTTTTTTCTGTTAAACACAAAAAAAATTGACTTCCATAGTAAAAAAAATTCAACAACATTCTTCTAAATATCCTCTTTTGTTCAACAGAAGAGAGAAACTCATACAGGTTTAGAACAAACATGAGGGAGAGTAAATGATGACAGAATTTTAATTTATATTATTATTTAATTTATATTTTTATCAATTTAAACTATCCCTTTAATACTTTTCTTGTGCCCGAAATGTTTTTTATAAAAACTGAGAAAAAAAAAAAATGAACAAAATGTAGCTTATAAACTTAACACCCATTTTTTATTGACTAATAAAAGTGAAAAATCCAGTATTTTTCTTCTTGTGCTTTGTTCGCTGATGGATGTGTGATATTGTTTACTTGTATGTAATAACTTGTAAGAGTGCATTTAAAGTGTTTCTTATTACACATTGTTCTTTTTTAATTAATAAAAGTCTTTGAAATACACACCAAATTGTTACTTTTTGAAAAGTTGTCTCGCAACACTAAAAACACAAGTTATGATAAAATAATTATTCCGATTTATTTCAAAATTTCCACAATTTGAAGTCAGTGTAAAATAGAGGTTTCTGGTCTTATTGCGAGCAATTCAGTAAGTAAAAAATAAATAAACATTGATGTAAAAATGTTTTAAATACTAACTGCAAATATATTTGAAACATGTACACAAGCCCAAGTCGAACTCTCTTTCACTGTTCAGGTGTTTTGTGTCCATCCATTTTGCATTATTTCAAAATGATTTTGCAACTTTTATTGTTAACTAATACCTCTCAATTTCCTGAATACTGTGCGGTTGAATTTGGAAAGATACTTTAAACAAGTAAGAGTAGTGTATGCTAGTATGTGGTTCCAATACTTGCAAAGCCTTTAAAGAGACGATCTGTGTCTAATGCGAATCAGTTTTACTACAGAAACTCAGTGAGCACCATGGACTTGATTTTAGGTCAACGTAGATCTATTATATTAGAAATAGCCCAGTCCAGTCCTCCATGGCAGAAGTAAACAGTCCGTTACCTAGTCAACACTGAAGAACAAGGTTTCCGTTTCCTCGAATAGCAGCACGATGGTTTATTGACCTTTAAGATCAGAGGTCACTGAGACTGAGATCTGGAGGACTGTCTGAAACTCTGTCCACCCCTTCAGCATCATTGTCAAGGTTACTCTCAAGCCCACTTCCAGCTTCGCTGATGTCACTTCCTGACAGGTCTGAATTTAGGCGGACCCGTTGGCGTCTCCTCCTGGTTTGTAATTCTAAAAATTAATTAGAAAAAAAAAAAAGTAATTGTTAGTGTAAACCTGGGTTTCTCCAAACTGTGGTCGATGAAAAACAATACTTGATTAAATCGTAAAAATGTACAATAAAACAAATAAATAAAATTAAAATAAGTGCCCTCCTCTCTTCAGAGAGTTAGTTTCCTCTCTAACTAAAAATCATATAAAAAAATATTGCTTGAAATAAATATTAAATAAAATGAGATCTTCACCTTATTTTATTTCAGCTAGTTAACTAAAACTTAACAATATAGAACAAAAACACAATTACTACAACGTAAAAAAAAAAAAATGTAGTCTTTAAAATATTAACAACAACTATAAAAGTCCATCAATGCCACTATACGATACTATAATAACAATTACTCCAGCTGTTGTTTTGTCAAAATCACGTTTTGGAAGAAGGATTGATGCATTGACTCATTAGTTAAATTGTGTTATTTTTGAAAAAAAAAAAAAAAAAAAAAGTTACATAGTGTACCTTTAAGAAAATAATAACAAAAGGTACTGAAGGCTTATTTTATGTAGCTTTTACAGTTGCAGCTCTGCATGAGATTCACCCTTCAGTGTATCTCTCGTGTCATGTGTCCATGCGTCACCTGGTTCTTCCAGCCAGGATGCATCCAACTCGTCTGAGCTGATCTCGGCCAGACTGGGAGTGGGACTGAAATCATCCTCTGACACTGACGACACGCGTCTCTCGGCCCTCGTCTTCACGGTTACCACTGTTACCACACCAGCGCAGGAGAACAATGAAAGGACAACAATTGCACCGAAATCCCGAAAAGCGATTCCAAATGTCAGAGAGAGGCTAAATGAAGGTTTTTGGCTTATAAATGAACCTTCAAGGCCCTTTATTGAGTGCGTTCTCACCTGGTTTGTGTGGCACCGGTGCAGGAGTGGGGAGGAGAGAGTCTCTCAGGACCAGACCTCGCACCTCGTCCTTCAGCTCAGAGACTGTGACTCTGAATCACACAGAAAATAAAGCGGCCTCCTCTCATCAGGGTTATTATCTTTAGCTAAACCCGTAAAGAAATTCATTGATTCGTGAAATAAAACAATAGTTAACTGAAATTAAATATTCAAAAATGAATAAATAACAATCATCATCATCATTTAAAGGTGCAGTGTGTGATTTTTAGCACTAAGGGCTCAACCCACTGCTCACCACCCTCCCTTTCGAAGAAGCTACGGTGGCTAAAACGGGACAAACATCGTCAGCAAGAATAGCCAGAGTAAGCCAAGAGTGTGTAACATTGTCACGGTCTGTTATAAACCACATCATGGATAAAGTTTACAAAGCCAGTCAGGTGAGGATCAAGGGTCTTAATATATAATATAATAATAGCAATCAACTGATTGTCTCACAAACGTAACCAGCACATTTCTCCCCACATAGCAAACCCATAACACAGCGAGGGAGAAGAACCAACTATATATGTTTTCTAACAGGGTAGTAAAAGTTTAGCATGCTAATATGAGCCGTTACTGTGGCTGAGCTGGTTAAAGCGTAAAGCCTTGTTTAAACTCGACGTGTCCGCAAGAACAAATGTTTGGATTTGAGAATGATGGTTGACCACTTTAATGTTGTTTGGATTAGAAATTATGAACTTAATTTAGAAATGTCAAAAATAAAGCTTTTGGAGTGGAGCGCGTGCAAAATAATTAATCGCCGTTTCCCGAATCCACGGCTAACATCGAAAGGCCGACACGGTTGAATATTGTCCAGTCCTGAGACTTCCACAGAAGATACAGTATACGCATGTACACTTTTTAATATGTGGACCGCTATTATTGACTGCTGTCAGGACGTGAAGAGAGTTTCAAACAGTATAATAAAAAGTGTTTATGAAAAATATCTTGAGTTCATCCCATTTCAGTTTTCCAATCGCTCACCCCTTAAGAACCACTGCTCCAGCTTTAAGGACACACTCACCTGAGGTCACGTACTTCCTGTTGAGTGTGCTGGTATTGTGACACCATCCGAGCCAGTTCAAAACTGTGCGCTCGCTGTGAATCCGTGAAACTCTCTAACGTCTGCAGAATACAAACATGAAATGAGTGAACGGAAGCAGAACATGCTGTTTAATGAAAGAACACAATAAAAAACACTCATTCACGACATAAATTCTTATGCAAATGGATATTGCATATTATATATTGCACATAATTTACATACGGAAGTATATTAAAGATATATTAAAGATACAGTGAGAACAGTCAATGCAAATCTTGCCTAACTTTTTAGGTAAAATGGAAAATATTATATTTAGTATAATGTAAATGATACCATACAATCTGAAAAAGCAAAATAGAAAAAAAACATACATTAGTGTTCAAAGATTTCTGCTCAGCAAGGCTGCATTTTATTTGATCCAAAATACAGTTAAATATACAATAAATATATTGTGAAATATTATTACAATCTCAAATAACTTTGATCGCAGGAAAAAATTAAATTTTAACATACATTCAAAGATAAATTTATCATCATTACTCCAGTCTTCAGTGTCACATGATCCTGCAGATATGATTTGCAGCTCAGGAAACTTTTTGATTATTGATTCTCATCAAACGGGTTTACATTTCGGATTTTTAGGAAGTTCAAAAGAACAGCATTTATTTGAAATAGAAATCTTTTGTAACATTATAAGCCTTTTAATCAATTTAATGCATCCTTGCTGAGTAAAAGTATTAATTTCTTTGAAAGATAAAGATGTGAATTAATAATACTGCACATATATGTGTGTGTGTCGTTTACCTTAGAGCTGCGTTCATACTGTCTCCTTGTTTCTCTGGCCTCTGACTGGAGCTGGAACGTATCTTCCTCCTGTCGCACTACAGAAACACAAACCAGTTTGCTTTTTTAACATTCATGAACACGATATAAATGCAGCCAAAATGCCCAGAGTCAGAATGTCTATCAATATTGAGGTGGTTATGAATGTGAGGCCAACACAAACACTGCCAGTCTCGAAGCGTGATGTTTATTTGCGTGACAGCGGAAGCAGAAGAAGCGTGTGTGTGTGTTTATATTTAACACAAAGTGCATTTGCACTGGCAGGAAGCCCTGACTGTAATAACAGGACACTCATATACTGAAAGAGTTTGATTTATGCATGGAACATTATAGCCTATATCTGATGTGCAAAGATGGTTCTCTATGGCATCAAACGTATATGAAAAGTGACTAGTGTACGACCTACTCAGTTTGTTTTTGAGAATGTCCACCTCTCTCCTGAGCTGCTCCACTTCTTCTCTGCGGAGTTTAGAGCTGAAACTGTGGACCGACAAATATTACAAACAATCAGTGTCTCTACACGCACAAGCCGTTCACTACAAGACGATTACTAGCAAACTTGAGTTATGATTTCATCTCGACTTTACACTATTTAGTTTTTTAGATTTTATGTGCATGACAGGGTTGGGTCAACAGAGTGAATATTCACTATATATTTGCAAGATTTTAAAAAAAATTATATACACTACTGATGAAAAGTTTGAAAAAATTATGATTTTTTTTTTTTTTTTTTTTAAATGTTCTTGATTAAGTCTCTTCTGCTCACCAAGGCTGCATTTATTTGGTCAAAAATAAAGTAAAATGTAATATTTTATATAATATATTTTAAAAATATTATTTATATGATATTAATATTTTTTTAAACATGTTTACAATTTAAAAGAACTTTCTACTTGAATATCTTTTAACAATTTATTTATTTGATGCAACGCTGAATTTTCAGCATCATTACTCTAGTCTTCAGTGCAATGTTATTTATTTTATTTTTATTCATATTTTGAATTAGCTTTTATTTTCATATTCGAGTTTTGTTCATTTTAGTTTAATTTTCATACATTTCATTATGTGCTTTTGTCAATTTATTAGTTTTAAATATAGCTATAGGTTCAACTTATTTTATTATTCCATTATTTATTTCCAATTAATAATTTTAGTCAACCTAAACATTGCTTCAGCCTAATTTTATTTTTAGTTTATTCAACTAATATTTTTATTTCACCTTTATTTCAATTAATAGAAATGTTTTAATAGTTTTAGATAATGATAATAACTCTGCTCCAGTGTCACATGATCCTTCAGAAATCATTCTAATATGCCGATTTGCTGCTCAAGAATCATTTCTGATTATTATCAATGTTGGAAACAGTTCTGCTGATTCATATTTTTGTGGAAACTGTGACCAAGTAATGTTTCTCAGCAAAGTATGCATTAAATTGATCAAAAGAGACAGTCAATTAATTTATAATGTTACAAAAGATTTCTATTTCAAATAAATAATGTAACTTTCTATTAAATAATCCTGAAAAAATATATTAAAGCCGAATATTAAACCGTTTTCAACATCGATAATAATATGAACCATTATTAATACTTGAGCACCAATAACAATTAATAATAACAGAGCACAAACTCAGCATATTAGAGTGATTTCTGAAGGATCATGTGACACTGAAGACTGCTGAAAATTCAGCTTTGATCACAGGAATATATATATATATATATAAATATTCACATATGTCTGTTTCACAATAGTACTGTTGTGTAATGTATTTTTGACTTAATAAATGGTGAGCAGAAAAGACTTCTTTCAAAAACATCACAAAAAAAAATCATAATTATTCCGGACATTTGACCATTTTTTATTTATTTTTCCCAGATGCCACTAAAGAGTCATCACAGACCTTTCTTCCTGGTTTCCTAGAGTCGTGGCTCGGTTGATCTGAGCTCTGAGGCTGCTCAGCTCTCGATCCATCTCTCTCTTCCACTGCTCCGTCCGTCGATCCGCTCCAGGGCTCAATGCTCTCCGCTCCACATCCCGCTCTCTCTCCTCCAGTTTATCCAGAAGTCTCTTCTGCTCCTCTGGAAGAGACCAGCTCTACAATTAACATCAACTCTAACAGAGCAGATTTTGGTCTTGACATATTCTATTAAATTACTTATTGAAAAGAAGTATTCATTAAAGGGGTCATGACATGGACTTTTATTTTAATATGTTCCTTGAGGTTCACTTATAATGTTAATATAGTTTTGGTAATACATTTGATAACAACGTGTCCTTGTTACACACGTTACATGTATTTACTATAGTAATAACTAAATCAGCCATAATTGCATGCAATTAACCCTCAACCAAATCCTGATCCTACCCATCAGTACATCAGTACTCAGTACTTAATTAATCTGAAATTAAACTGTAACAGGGACACCTTAAAATAAAATTTCTTTTGCACAAAAAAACCCCAAATAGATGTAGAAAAATTACTATTTTCAACCTTCATTCTGCCTCTGTCTGAAATGATCAATTTTATTAAGGCACAGCTAAGCTTGTCAGTAAATGCCGATTGCTAAATCAACACCCACTTGTTATTGCACACGACTGAGTGTTTTTACAACATATATATATAAAACCGTCAGTTACAGACAAAGCATTATGAAATCCTTCACTTCCGGTTGGTGATGCCGCTGCTGTCAGATCCAGTACAGTCGGCTGCTTCCTCTTTTACCAACAGTTTCTTTGTGAACTCTCCATTACTCTGTGCCGCGTTTACAAAACTAAATGCTCCGAACAAACATGCGATCCAGGAGGCCATTCAAATAAATCATCCAGTTGTTTCCAACACTGGGATCCTTGTGAAGTCTGTACAGAGACGCAAACCAGCCGTTTAAACTGGATGTGTCAATGCAAACGTTCTTTCACTCTTTCATTTGTCCTGTTTTCAGCAGACGCAAGTGTGTGGAGTACGTCAGAAACTGAACGCGCGTCATATCCAGTCTTAAAATAAGTTCTGTTTGCTTTTGACATGACGCAATACTCGCATCCAGTGTAGGCGAATGTCAGCCGTTAAGCCACTGAACGCCAGTGGGCGTGGCCTATGGTGTGATGTATAGGGTTGTATATGATGGGTTGCTCTAGAGGCGGGCATATGCAAATGATTTTGCCTGTGTGATGATGTCACAGATCGCATTATCAAAACAAGCCGTTTTTGGAGCTTGATTAAATAAATGCTTTGTCTATAATTAGGGGGAAATTTTAAGCTGTGAAACATGCAGGATATTTTAATGTTATGCGTCAAAAGATCAAGGCAAATTTGATTTCTCATGTCACGACCCCTTAAAGAACATGGAAATGCATTGTGATGGATAATCACCTTGTAATGTTTGTATTTGTCTGTGCTGAGCGTTTCGTTCTCTTTCCAATAATCGAAGACTCTGGGTTAAAGTCTCAATGGCCTGTGGCAAAATAACATAAACATTATTTGTTATTCTGAAATGATGCACTGTAGGTTTAAGTTTATTATATTAAGGCAAGATACTGCACTCAAAACACTGTTTTTTCAGGCACTGTACTTTATAGACTCTATATCTATTTGCATATATACATTTTTAATTAGCAATACACATTTATACATCAACAAGATGGTCGGCTTAATTCAGATTTGTGTTCAGGAAATGTATACAAACGGTGCATATTTAATTACTTTAATTACTTGCATTTTAGAAAACTTTTAATACAAAACAATTGCTTTAATGTACTGTGATTAATAAACTAGGGAGCTATGGTGATGATATCTACAGTATTAGTTCAAATGTTCACCCAACCCTATTAACTATATACATATGCATGATCATACTTTTCAGAGGGCCGATATTTCACTTTTTTCACTGTTTTCATGTAATATTCTAATTTTCTAAGATTTTTAATTTGGGGTTTTCATAAGCTCGAAGCCATAATCATCGAGTTTCACCTGTATATTGTGCCCCAGATCTCAGGTGGACACCACTAAATATAGATAAATGATCCAATACCTCATGTGATCCAAACACATATTAATAGCAGATGAAGTCAACTCTCCACGTGTGATGTGATCACGCGAGCCAGACGTTGATATCAGGTGAAAGTGGGTCATGTGACTAGAGCAGGTGTTAGTCTGACCTGAGTCTGCTGCTGTAGTTGTGTCTGGATGGCGGTCAGATCTGACCACTGAACCGCAGGACTGAGAGAGGACGAGGGCTTCAGATCAACACCGGCTGTGACCTCTCTGACCGGAAACACATCTACAGAGAGAAACACATCAACTAATTAAATCATACTAAACATATACAGTAGTGGACAACACTGATGTCCAGAGGGGATATTTTAAAGTACATATTTGAGGGGAAAATCAAAACAAAACTTGGTTAGGGTATTTATCTGACAAAATTATTTGGCAAAAAAAAAAAAAATGCATAGAAAAGCAAAAAAAAAAAAAAAAAAAAACTCAAGAAAGAGGTTATTAATATTTTGTTGGCTCTCTCTTGTTTTTGCATGTGTTCATAATTTGTTTGTATGACAGCCTGGGCCACTAAAACTGGAATTAAATGAATAAAACAAACTGAAAGCAGATGGCAAAATGAAAACTGAAAATATAGAATAAAAATTATAATAGTAATAATAATAATAATAAGTGAACGTTGCTCAGAAATAGCAAATGTAGTATTTTGACATTAAAAGTTTTCAGAATTTAAAACTTTTACTAATTTCCATGACTTCTTTAGCCATTCCCTTTTTATTCCTAGGTTTTCCATGACTATGGGAATATTCTTCATCTGTCATTTTTTTTTTTATTATTAATGGGCTAAATCATTTAAAAAGGATTTACCTTCAGTTCTTCTAGGAGATCTTCCATATGTAGTTAGGCGTTCCTTGTAAGACACAACATTAGTAACTGAGGTAAATTAAAGGTGTATTTCACAGAAGAAAGTAAGTGGTTCAGAATAGCATGAGTGTGAGTAAATAATGACAGAATTTTAAATTTAGGTGAACTGTCGCTTTAATTCATCTGATCTAGCAGACAGAGAGCGCACTCTAGCGGCCAGTATCTGCAACATTCTAAACATCATCAACATTGACATACATTTAATAAAATGTCAAATTAATTATTATTAGTGATGAAATACAGTCTCTTACCCTCATCTTTGCCACACTTCCGTCTGCCTCGGAGATAATGGAGCTCAATTGATGGTCCCAGTTCATCCTGAACGCCTGATAACCAGCTTCTCGAATTAAACACGAGCATAAACCTGACCCTTTAAACCAGCAGGAATAATGACAGGTGAGGTTACAGGGACAGGTAAACGGATCGCATATAGTGTCACCGGATTCTGCAGAGGTGTGTTTCAGCTTTAGTAACGTTAAACAAACAACTGAAATAACGCTTCAAAACACGCGCGCGAAACACTAAAGCGACCGTTTATTCCAGAGAAACTTCACAAACGAATATCCTTCCATAAATAATATCATTAAAAGCTCGATTACATGTCCAAAATCCTCTTTTTATGGGGCCAATGCCCGTTTCAGTTTAAATCCATGAGCCAGCGCCACACGCCACTTCCGTCACACCACATGGATTGTGGGAAATGTAGTAAATCTGGTGTAATGGCCGCCCACTGCTTGTGAGATAGCAACTACTTAAACATACTGGATCAGTAAGATATGACACCATTCACATACATTATATTCTACTGTATATACATGTATGTTTTTTTTTAATTGTAAAAAGTGCTATAGCCATTATATTTATACTTAAGGTTTCTAGAACACGTGAGACATTTCACGTATTGTAAACTATCGTTGAATGCGGGCGTAATAACATATAGCCTCCTACCCAACCATACATTTACAAATTGTCACATGTATTACAATTTACTTAATACAATTCCGTGAGTGAGAGACAATATATCTTAACTTTAGCTTCTTAACTTTAGTTTTAGTTAAACTTGACTTTTAGTTAAACGTCCATTTAGTCAAATCTGTGGTACAGGGTTATTATATTTAACTAAAACTTGAACAACCATAAAATAAACTACCATTTTCGTTACTTTACAAATTTAACAACACAAAAACTACCAAAACTTTCAAATCAAAATGCAAAAATAGAAACTAGTAGCATCTAAATGATATTAAAATACATCCACTCCACTTGGCTGTTATATCAAGTTTCACATAATGTCACCACACTTTTTTAAAGACAAAACAGTAACCGAATTGAACATTTCAACTTTTATGCTATTTATTTAAAACAGAAATGTACACACAGCGAATTCCCAGAGGTCTTACACTGTGAAATGAGCCTATTTAGTGTTTTTCTAATTTTACATAACATGTTTAAAAAATAAAAAAAAAATTATCGTCACTTTATAGAATGTGGAATTAGAGTAGAATTGAAAACATGATTTCCACTATTTAAAACATTTTGGCAATTTGAACCCAGGTCCCCATCCGAGCAGTGTTCTCCCGGTGTTCAATGTGCAGATGAACAGACCCAGCAGAGCAAGCATCCCGAACGAGCCACGCCGGCGCTTCTCAGGCTCTAACAGGACAGAACACAACACTCAAACTCATTTCACAAGCTGTACTCATAATCCAGTTGCCTTAAATCTACACAGATCAGTTCTGTGGAGGTGCAAAGACACTCACTTCCAGTAGAGTATCCTTGAGCGTACAGCACCCGACTGACAATCCAGATCATTCCCAACGCGCTGGCCAGGCGCTGAGAAACACAAGAAACAGTTTCTCAGTTAGCATTAGCATTAGCTTGCATGGGTGTTAATAAAGCTTGAATCTATACTCACTGGATGCTGAATCCCACCCACAGATAAATGATACAGGAATAGAGGCACAACTTCAACACTGTAAGAAAATGGCACATGATATATAAAATACTGCATGCTTTTTGTTTTACAATTATAAACAAAATATCCACAACAGTATCAATAAAACATCAGAAAAGCAACCAATCACTTCTCGATCAAATGTAAAACATTAAATAAGCTGATATCTATTGTAAAGAAAACTTTTTATTACTGCTAAATATTAATGTATATTGAGACTATTAATGCATGATGAATATTAATGCACGCCATACGTGTTCTGATGAGCTCGCTGGATACAGTTGAATTTGTGGCCAGTCTCTGGATCATCACTGTACATTGTAGGATACTGGAAAATAAAATTAATACTTTCAAACTTAATTACACCAAAAACCATTAAGCAAAATAGTACTAATGTGCTCTAAAAAAGGGGTTCTCAAACCACTGTGTTCTGAAAGACATGTATTAATAAAAGTATTGTATATTGTATCAATATCTGTTTTTAGGACATTCGTTTACTTTGTGTCGCCCTTTGAAGTCCAATATAAAGTCTGGGTCATAATGCAAAACCAGTAAAGAACCACTGAACTAAATTATGTTTCTATCAGATTATAGGCATAGAAGAACCTTTCAGTGAATCGTTCTTAAAAGCATTTTTCTTCTTAATGTTAAAAACATTTTGAATAATCTAAAGAACATTTTACCATCATAAAGATACAAATTTATATCTAACAATTCTGACTTTTTCCTGATAATTCCGAATTTAGATACAAACTCAGAATTGCACATTCTTAGAAGAAATGGTTCTAAGCACCAGAAATGGTTCCATCTTCCGCTTCACATACGGAACTCCAAAATGGTTCTATATAGAACCATTTTTTTTTTTTTGGTAAAAGGTTCTATTGGCCAAGTACGGAACTCCAGGGTTCTATATAGAACCCAGAGGAACCATTTTTTAAGAGTGTATAGAACCTTTTAGGGGTTCCAAATACGTAGCGCTAATAGAACCTTTTAAGGATCTATAAAGAACCTTTTCTTCTAAGAGTGCAAGACAAAGTCAGAATTCTGACACTGCGAGTTTACGCCGATGAGGCAAAACATTATGACCACCTGCCTAATATTCTGTCAGTCCTCCATTTGCTACTAAAACAGTGACGTCCCGCCCAGGCATGACCTCTACAAGAGCCTGAACGTGTCCTGTGGTCTCTGACACCGAGATGTCAGCAGATCCTGCAAGTCCTGTAGTTTGAGGTGGAGCTGCTGTGGACTGATCTTGTTGGTCCAGCACGTCCCACCTTGAACACCTTCATCATGTTCCTCAAACCATTCATGATCAATGTGTGCAGTGTGAAGAGTGCACCGTTGTGAAACCCGAATTCGAGTCCCGGCTCTATCCTAATAATAGGCAAAAACGCCAAAAATAAATCTTAAATATATACATTTACACGTTTCCCAGCAGAACATTCACTCCCTCCACCATATTACCATCGTCCCACAGTCCATCCTGGTGCATCACATTCCCAATTAAACAGTGCACACGTATACGAGATGTAAAGAAACAGGACTCAGACCAGGTGACCTTCTTCCACTGCTGCAAAGTCCAGTTCATCATAGATCTCTGATTGGTCGCCATACGCAGCAGATGCACTGTGTGTTGTCACAAATTCCTCCCATAACCATCATTTAAATAGTGTGACTTGTGCCACACACCTTCTGTTGGATCTGATCTCCTCGGACACTGTTGGTAAATTCTCACCACAGCTGACCGACAGCGACACACAAGCCTCTGTGTTTCAGAGATACTCTGACCCAATCGCTCTGCCATAACTATATCAGGCCCTCGTCAAAATCTGCCCGTTTCTCCTGCATCTGACATTTTAATCTGGAGGACTGATTGTTTACTTCCCATCTAATCTACCAAGATCCTTGTTAAGAGATGATCAACATTATTCGCTTCCCCTGTGACCGTTCATAAATGTTTTGGCTCACCAGAGTATATCTCATAAATTCTCATATAAACTTGCAATTGCCAGGAAAAGTCAGAAATGTGAGATAAAAAGTTGCAGTTAGCATTTATATATGCATTTATTTTGTTTTAGAAACAAACTTCCATGACAATTCACTGTCTGTTATGTTACCGGGACATTGTATTTATCCCGAGCCTTCCCCACAGCATAAGACAGATGACCCATCAGGAGAAATGATGCCGCTCCGGTGAGCGCCACATAGCCATGCTCTTTAGACAAAACCACCATCTTCAAGACTGAGAAAACAGAAATAATCACAGGATATAAAGTGCACAACGGAGAAAAATCTCGAAAATATGTGAATCCAGAAATAGTCCACATTGACACATAGCTGGTCTGATATAAAAATCAATAATGTGCTTAGTCATCTCGGTCTGTGATAGTACAGGAACCTCAAAGTGGACTTAAGTTACTATGAAATTTATAACAGTGCTACTAGTCTAGGTCATAAGTAGTAGCAATTAAGTTAAATTCAAGTCATTCTAATAGTTGTCAAAAACACAGTTCTGTAAAAGCAGCACACATGCAGGAACGGGTACATTTTCTGCACACCCACAACAGTGTGAAAGTGAAAGACAATTATTCGAATCAACAATCCCAATGTTGCATTATTAAGATTGTTCCAGACACAATCAACGCAATATAATATTGTTAATCAAAAGACAATATTTAAAAGAATTTGCTGCTTTGTTACCTGCTCTGTGCTGGTTATCTGGAGGGCGGATTCTGCAGGACAAAGATCGCTCGTGTTTCGACTAGTACTAAGTGCGACGCTTATGGGTAAAGGGTCAATCTCCACAAGTGCCATCCAGTCTGCCTTCAAGAAACAAAATGCACAAATTCAAACATTTGAAAAGCAAAGACTTTTAATGTTTTAGTTAAATATAAAATATATTTGAAAAAAATATGCATATAAAAACACTGGCCATATTTTGTATATATTATACACATGCTGTCTTTTATTCTCTAATCTTGAATAAATATGCCATTTCCTATTGTTTTTAACACCATGTCAGTAGCAGGGCTATGGCAAAAACAAAGTTCAATTATCAAAAAACTAAGACATTTGAGACAAGATACAAATACACAAATACATTTGGTTTACACTTAAAGGGGTGGTTCACCCAAAAATTTTAATTCTGTCATTTACTCATGTTCTGTATGAGTTTATTTCTTCTGCTGGACACAAAAGAAGATTTTATTTTTAATGGTTTCTGGTCCCCCAACTTTTTTTTCCTGCCATGGAAGTCAACGGGGACCAGCAACTGTTTGGTTACCAATATTCTTTATAATGTCCTATTTTGTGTTCAACAGAAGAAAGAAACTCATACACTGGTTTAAAACAAAATGAGGGTGAGTACATTTTGATTTTTTTTTAAAACAATATCCCTTTAATTACCTTAGCTCTCTGAATTTACATTCAAAACAGTGCAGTATAGCAAAACATTACAGCTTTAAGAACATTAAAGTTGTGTCCCAAATGACGCACTTTGCACTATTCACTCACACGAGCATTTTGTCATTACATTGAACAGCCAAGTCTGTTAGCCCCGCCCTCTCCATTGCGTGATTAAAGATGGGACAGTACAGTGCATGCGACACGCGCAACACGTAGAATTTGCGTCACAGAGTCTTGACATTGCGTTCTATTATTTTAACAGTACAGAGAGCCCCGCCGTTAAGCGGGGCATCAATAATTAGATTATACTCATTGTGTTCCTCCCCACGGAAATCTTTAGTAAAAGGCGAAAGATTTCTACGATCTGAAGAGAAACATGAGTGTACTAATTTCCTCACTGCACCAGCACGGACCGGAGTGTAAGGAACACACTTCACGAGAACGGTGACGGGTACTGTGTGTTCAACATTTAACGTAGATATATTTGTTGAGATTTGTTTGAGACTGGGTAGTTAGTACCTATTCGGCCTGCTCATTAAAAAAAGAAGTAATTTTCAAGATAAATAAAAAACACACACTTATGATACTTGATAAACTAACACAGAGAACGTCTTCTAACATTATAGTCCAGTCATTTTATGAAAAAAGGTTGAACAAATTGCAACAGAAGCAAACTCAACTGATTTTGTATCCTCAATATGTCCCGAGCAAGGAAAAAATTAGCCCCGAAGAATCCCATTACATTCATTGTTTTTTTTTTCTCACGTGAAAAGGGTAATAATTACAACCTTTGATGTCATCAGGAAATTACTGAGTTGATTATATACATTCACACCAACCACAATATTAACATACGTAGTTAACTATTATAT